CGACAATAGAATACAATAGAATCACACCTAATACAATAGATAGAGCGACAATAGAATACAATAGATTTTCTGAATACATTACATCAACTGAGTGCTATGTAGGTTCTCCCTCTGTCTCTTACCATCGTAGATCACCAGGATATCAGTCCAATCATTTTTCTTCAAAATGTCAACCATGGCCAATCTGACGTCATGTGAACTCGGCCCCAGGCAATCACTGTTCGGTGCTTGTGTTCCGTTGCCAGGGAAATGGCCATGTACTTCATGCTTGGTTATCATGGGAATGTGCAGCATGGATCCAAGAATGTCGAGTGTGGACTCGGGACGAGAGTTTACAATTACGGCGATGACGTCAAGCTGGGATAGTAATTTCACTGCATGATGGGAAATAATAACAGAGTTTTAATGTTTAGGCTCAAATATTTACAACGCTGAATTGTTCAAGAAGATTGAATTATTTTGTTTTCAGATGAATAATTTTCTCCTCAATAGACCTTTTTATCTCGGGCGTAATGTTTTCCAATCTCAGACCACGCGTCATTCCCTAGTGTATCATTTCTTTCTTTAACAGTGGTGCATGAGAAGACACATGATCTTATGGATATCATTCACTATAAACATTTTTTATTCTCAAGAGAATGACACTGGGTCTGATATGGGAAAACATTACGCTCAAAGTAAAGTTAGAGGTCTATTGGCATCTAAAGAGAAACAACCCAAGCAAGTTCTCTCCTGAGGTGGTAATGTTTGAAGTAATAGATCAAAAACGAGTGCGAGTGTTTGCAGGCATCCCAGCCACTTTTTAGACAATTTGATAGGAAATATAGTCTGTCCAAGTTCTAAATATAGGAAAATATAGGATTTTTCCCCAAAAATATGTGCACTTTATAGGAGCTAAGATAGCTTTTCGGTGGCGTAACCAGGGATCGGGAGGGTGCAAAGGCAATGATTTGCAGAACTTAAAAGCCATTTTATTTCCTTCGCTAAATATGCTAAACAGTGTAAAATATAAATGTATCAATCAGCAGTTGTCCTATTTATAGAAAATATAGGAGGTTTTCTTTAAATATAGGCTCTTATTCGTTTATTCGTCAGTGTTTTGATCAGTGTCTTGATCCGTTTTTGATCAAGTATCAAGGTGCGTGCACGTGGCTACAATGCAAAGTCGCCATTGGTCATTGACCTCATGAATTATTAATGAGTTTGAGAACACATATTAACTATTAAATAAGCCCCAACATCAAGGAAAACGTCTGAAAAAACTTTTGGGTTCCAATGCCTCAAAGCCAGAGGCGTTGGCGCAAATAGTGTCTTATAGTACTCACGTGACACAGATATTTTGCTATCAGTAAGACTACTACATAGACTCAATTGAAGAATCGTTGTCGGGTTCAGAAACATAGAACATAGAAGCTGAGACCGAAATAGCACAGGAGGAGTAAATAAGCGGTTTCGTCTACGCTGTAACCTATAAAAATGCGAAGCAAAACGGCTCTCGAACGCAGGTCTTCTGAATATGCGTTTGGAATTCTAAACCGACTGCATGGATGGCGCAAATGAATAAATTATAATATAATTATGTCATTTCCCATGTGCCATTTCGGTCTCAGCTTTTATGTTCTATGTTTCTGAAGCCGACAACGATTCTTCAATTGAGTGTGTGTACACTCGACGCAACCTTAGATGACTATCATCGCATCAATCATAATCAATCAAACAAAACCCTTCAGATAGCTAAATTTAGCTTTGTGTTATCTATAATCAAGCGCCCTAAGGTAACATTAATTTGATAACCATGTTCTATTAAAATAAGAGTTTCGTGGCTTCGTAATTAATTGGCTTGACTTTGGTGCTCAACAGGCTTGAATGCTTCTCGCTGATCCGACTCATTTCGACTATGCATCTGTCCTATTATTTATTTCTCTGAGGTTCTAAGAAGAGGTTTTTGTCAGATTTTGATTCTAAGGAAACACTGAAGAATTACAGTTGTTAATAGACCAAATCGAGTTCCAAATAACCGCTGTGTTCCTTGATTACAGACTCATTTACTCAGGCTTAGCCTTGTATCAGTGTCTAAATATTCACAAATACCAACGGTAAAGTAAAGAATGCACAACTTCAACAATACAAACGCTTTGGAATTCCACGGACCTTCACTGAAACACATGAATATTCTGCACAAAGTGGAGAATAACCCTGAGCAACAGAAAACTCGAAACTGGAATATTCACCATCTGCCATACATCGATTCACTGGTCAAACACAAAGCATTCAATCGAGGCTACAAGGTTGTTTCAAGGGATTATTCAAACTTGAACCTTGCAGCCTCGACTGAATCCTTTTTGTTTGACCAATGAACCAATGTATGGAAGATGGTGATTCTTTGTAAAAAAACTGAGGATATCAGATATAAATCATAAAAATAATTTCTATATATAATTCACGTACTGAACGTTCCATGACTTTTAAATTAGTGGCTTAATCATTTATAATATAACTAAATTAATTAGAAAAAAAATCACACAGTTTTTAGATCTGATATGATCATTTGTACAAATGTTTTGAGCTTAGCCAGCAGGGAAGTTATAATAAAAATAAAGACAAGACATAAATAACTAATAACATCACTGATAAAGGGCTTGAAGAGTGGGCTAAATCAAGGCTATTTTATGCCGAGTGGTTTACACGAAACTCAAATATCAGTCACGGACTATTTTTAATCTAAACCAAAGATAGTTTTGTTAAAAAACACGTAAGGCTAAAATGTTATTTTAAAAAGCTTATGCTCTTATGCTTACAAGCAGGTTCCGAAATAGATAAAGTACGATATGACAGAAACGAAAACTGAAAAATTTCTATCCATTAACTAAACCGCTGATGGTAAGAAAAGAGCGGGAAACTTTGACTTTAGAAAAATGGTACACGCGTCTACCGAAAGAACCGAAAAGAGCGGGAAAAGTGGATTACCTCAATCAAAAACCGAGTTTTCTGGAACTTTCCTATCGAAATGATACACACCATTTGTTTTCCAACCGGAATTTTCGGGTAAGCAACCCAGATATTGCGAGACTACTATTCTTGTATCAAGACAATTACTGTAACAACAGTTTGACTACCAAAATAAATAAAAATAATTAAAAATAAAAACACAAGAAATCTTATTGTAAACTCTATATAAAGCAAGTAGTAAATGGTACATTACCATAGTCCAGTAAGTTTTCTTTGATTGACTTTGTAGTATTGGAGATAAATTTGATGTCTGTGCCAGGTAGAATACTAGAGTTATTGTTGATGTAGTTTATTGCAGATATCAAGGATTTTTCTAGAAGGACATCGTGGTGTTTGCTTGTTGATGCTGTCGATAGAAAACAGTACAATTGTCCTTGTAGCCCTTTTCATTAAGTCAAATTTGCAGAAAATATGGTAGGAATAAGGATAAAATTTCTCCGTTTACGTAAATTTATTTTACAGATGTGAGAACAAAACTTATCTCGTTCAATGTTTTGCATGGAATAATGAATTCCAGTGTCACCATTAAAAACGTAAATATTTTGTAAGATATTTTTCTTGGATAAAAAGCTATAGACGGTTTTCAAACCCGTGACCTCCTTTTCAACATTGCTAGGTATTTCAGTATTTAACTTGAAAACGTAAATACTTGATAAAGATATAAAATATGGCGGACTTGAATACCCTGCTCTTACAGTTACAGCACAGATAGGAATATTTCAGTTACATACCTACCTATATATACAGTTTTCGGTGCAGCGTTTGCCGATGCAGTTTGAAAAAGCACAAGCAAAAAAATAAAGTTCCAAGCCATCCATGGTAGTGTTGCCTGTACCATTACGCTAACGCGTCGAGTTGCACGCCGTCTGCTCGCAATGAAAGACCTGCGGTAAAACATTGGTTTTTCTTTATAAAAAGAATTAACTTTTTAAAAATAAAGGTAGGCAATTAGTCTGAGGTTAAGTAGGATGAGGCTAGACTGATATTGTCCGATTTAAGGCCCATAGTGAGACTTTAAGTAGAAAGAAAGACGACAATGCATTGGTTAACGTTTTCTTCACGCGTAACTATCTGTGCGGTTTTCTATTGAAAACTGAAGTAAGTAAAGTTCATATTCGTCACGACCACACCAAAGGATTTACTCATTTTGAGATTTCTATTAAAAAGCTTTATAAAGTACTTCTCTTTTAAAAACAGAGTTCCCAGAAAGAAATTTTAAAAAATTGTTAACGTCTAAGTTTGAGTAACTATGTACTGCGTATTGTATTGGGTACTTCTTTATATAAACGCTCATCTGTCACTGAAGAGTTATCAGTAAAATATTCCAGTTTTACTCTTCTTTTTCTCTCTTGAATTGGTTTCCTAAAACGGGTCTAACTTGTTTATTCGTGAAAAACTTAGAAGTTAATTCTCAATAAATCTGAACTATGCTACAGCTACCCGCAACGCGCAATGGCACATGGGTACAAAACAACTGAATGGCGGTGTTAAGGGTTTTGAATTGCGTTTGGGAAATATTAATATCAATGAATCAATTGACTAAAACTCTGAACTGCGACAAATTACTAAGAGACGCTGAAATCGAAACAAATAATACAACACTCTAGAGACGTATTAAGTATTTTTATGAGGAGTGAGTCTTGCAAAAACACATCTTCGACTAACGTGAAGGCAATGCATGAATTCTAAATAATCAATGTAAAAAGAGCACGAAACTTAGATATGAAAAGTCTGCCGCCAACCAGTTGTAAAACCGAGCAAAAATCTTTAAATCAGAATCGATGCAAACCGTCCACGCAATACAAAAATACAAGAAATTCTAGTTTAGTCGGGCCGAGGCGAAAGGAGTTATCCAAGCAACGTTCTAAGTCGTAAAGGAATCTTATTCGCACTATCTCCCGCTTGTGATAAAAAAACCACAATTAAGAGTCGACCCCTGAACAGTAGGAAATCGCAATACAAAAAATCCCAACTTCTTTTTTCAAAAGAAGCGACACCAAGCGAAGCTGCCCTGCACACTATGAAATTGCTTACATAAATTYCCAATAACAACGGGCCACAACAGGTAACACGGGGCGGGGAGTTCGAAAACCAAGATAACACTCAGAAAACCTTGTGTTTTATAGTAATTTCTTGTCTAAAAATCCTCGTAAAAAAAAAAATAAAATAAAATAAAATAAATTCTCGTAAAGGTGGAGACAATTTTTTCTTTTTTCTGAGCAAGAAAGGCTAGATTTATCTAGATTGTTTTGTTGAATGTAGCGAGTGGAATATTCGTKAACATTCCCCGGACAGCTTGTTTTCTGCAAGCTGCTAGACGTGCACTACACTCGGTCAGTTTTAATTCTTGCTAAATATATGCCACAAAAAGAAAAACAATTGGATCGGAAAAGATTTCGAAACTAAAATACTACTTTTAATGTTATAGTAGTAGCTTTCTCCAAGAACCGTGTCTCTACTAGTCTCCCACGCATCCGTTTTTAGTGTGTCTCTACTAGTCTTTTGAAATGTGCGAGTCATAACTATCAAATTAATGTTAAATCGCGTTTCTGCCATCAAAAGTCCTGATCAGTTTTTTTTATTTTTATTTTTTAAACTAAATGACAAAGAAATATTTTAAAACCAATCATCGAGGTGCCAAAGTTTTGGTTTTAGTTTTATAAATGGAATGATAATGTAGCCCTTAAAGTTCGTCGGGATATCGAAAAGTTCACGAAAAACGCACGGAGATCCGTCGAGGCGAAAATCACACGAAAAAAAAAACCAGCCCACGCAGAGGCAATAAACGAGAGACAAAAAAGTGAAATTACTGGCTTAAAAGTTATTCAAAAACGAAACGCGGAAGAAATATAAAAATAAATAGATAAATAAATTTCATAAAGGAGTTATTTTGCTTGTTTTTCTTTTCGTTCACACGAGAAATATTTAAAATGGAAATTGATAAATACTCGATCCAAAAACAAAGACGAGTACAGTAAGCGACTGTATAAGTTAAACTGGACGTATTTGACTTTTCAAACGCAAGATCAAAAGCGGTTTCTTTGAAGTTTTCCCCAAGCAAAAACATCAATAAATATCGTACTCTGTATTAAAATAAATATCATAAAAAGACCTTTAAAACTCACGTAGAGATTCTAGTAGACTTTAAAGGAATTTCCGGTTCGTAGGCGTTGGGAATTCACCATCTATATCTCCGTTGTTTTTGTTCGGGTTTTCCTTGTCTTCAAACTGAGATAACTGCATCCAATGATCTGGTCAAAGAAAATCAAAGTTTTTGAACAGATAAATCAAGATAGTAGGGGCGTACGAGCTAAAAACGTTCGTACCCTGAGTGAGAATAGTGCGGTTTCCAAAATTCCAAAATTGGTTATTTTTAGCATCGATAATTCATATCAAATACTAAGCATTCTGTGGTCGATTTAACGCGCGAGGAAGAATAGTAAAACCATTTTCTACTTACGCAACCGAGTAAATAAATTAAAAATTGAGTTGTCATAATTTGTCAAGAAAAACTATTAGTGTTAATAACAAAATTATGAAGGATAAAAGAGATTCGCGCTTCGCAAATCTTCAACTTTAGATTCGCATTTAAATTGGTATAATTTTCAGCCAATTTCAATTTTCACGCATTTATTTTACAATTCTGTTTCCGCAGTTTTCAAGAAGAAACACAAGATGAACAGTTTGAGATTTCTTAAAGAAATGATCCTAAAAGTATTTTCGTTTCGTAGTTTTTATCCTCCCTTGGTTGATCAGTTAGCTTATACAGTATTGAATAGATAATGTCTTACTTTTACAGAATACTGAACAAAGATACTTTACCTTCGTTTTTGTCTTTTTATCTCGTTTTTGTCCAATCATTAATTCTTATTCACATTGAAACTATAATTTCATTCTTTCGTGACGATCCCAAGAACACAAAGATAAAAAATTGAGTTATCAGATCATAAAATGTTCTTCCAATGCATCGGTTCAGTTCAGTTTATCCTGCAACTCGAACCAAATCCAATCAAACAAGCTACTGGTCGAGATGAGATCTCCCGTCGAGCCAATCATTTACTGTGGTCTTCATCGCTGCTGGTTCCAAAGCTGTTCCCGCTACAAACAATTTATCTTCATTTAGCGTATGAAAGAAGAATTTTATCAGGTTTATAACATACCTACTTAGAAACTCAATTTTTTATTATTTAATTGCATCGAAAAATTTTACATCCAGGCTGGTATAACTCGTTAAATTATTACAATCGAAATGTTGCGAGCTCACCGTACGGGTTGAGGAGTTTAAAATTTATGCTTAGAAAATCACTTTTGGAAATTCAAAACAAAGTGCTTTGGTTATAATTAAGTCAATTTTATGACTTTTTAGTTAGCATTGTTAAATGTCGACTTAACTCTGTTTTAAAGGTGGGACAGATTTAGAGGATTATATAAAGTTATAGAATTTAACTTAGTACACAAGTACGAATCACTCAAAAATTATATTCGAATTATTTAGATGATAATAAGCCTTGAATACCATTATGAAAGAAAAATTACGACTCTGACTGCGATTTAAAGTGTTTAAAATAAAAATTATGATGAAAATGACGCAAATATCAGGAATTTCTCAATGTCGTTTYATCAATATATTTAAGTCTAACGCCTCCTATTGTCGCAGGAAAAAAACTCCGTTCTTATCGTGCGATACACCAGCTAGGTAACTAACGATTAATTGCTTGCCACAATCATAGCGGAATATTTATTGAAGCATTGCATGAGCCAAGGGAAAAAATGTTAGTGTATTTATTTCAAAAATTCAACTGCTGGAGAGGATTATTTTAACGATTTTAATGGATTGAAATGTTGAATTAAAAAGTCAACTGTAAAAATGAAAGTGTTAGACGTTAAAATGTAATATCATTTTTATTTGCAAACCCTTTTTTTAGCTTTAATATTGTGAACATTAATTAAAACAAAAGTGGTACATTTGTTTAGAAATAACTAAGAGTGCCCGGGCTTCTTAACCCAAAAACGTATTTTTAAATACTACTGATAGTATGTGAAATCTGTTTTTTTTTACACGAATCAACCAAAGCTGTCGTTTTTCCAAAGAAACGTAACCCAAATCATTCCAAAAATAAATCTTTATAACTTACTTATTTAGCAATAAAGCAATGGGATTCTAATAAAAAAATGCGGTTAGATTTCATTCGCGATAATATCTGGAATTTCACTTTAAACTGAATCCTGGCATTTTTGCTTTGGTGAGAAAACTTTATCAGAAAACTTTATCAGGTTAAAATAACTGAAATGATTTAGTTTTGAGATAATAGGAATCCAAGGTTAACAGTGCATTTATATCATATTAAATTCAATGATAAAATCAAAACCTGTATTGTATTTTTATCTTCTTACAATTTAACTCAAACGTTTTTAAGGAAGTGATGCGATACTTTGAAGTCTAGTAAATCGTCTCCTCGTCCGCATTGTAGTCGTTTTYCCCCTCCTTTTTCACTTTTCTTTTGGCTTTCTTTTTCGAAGCCTTTACCGAAGAATCTGTGGTGAGCAATTCGTCACTGGTCGAAATACCAAGGTCTTTATTTTTCGGGGTATCTTTGGGTTTCAGAGATTTCGTTTTCGTTGCCTTTAGATCGACTGGACCTTTGGCGGGAAAATCTCCTCTGGTCGTTTTGTCTGGGTAACCATCGTATTTTACATCCGACTGAGGCTTTCCTTTGAATTCTGATGATTTCGAATTGGAGACTTCCCCCCGGCTGTTGGAAGGTTTTTTAGCGGGAGCGCTGTCAGTCAAATCTTTACCGTTTTCAAGGTCTTCCTTCTGGTACATTCCAAGGTCTTTGGCGACTCTGATTTTTGCAGGTTTCTCACTGGGTTGAGCTCGCGAATTGTTTCTGGTAATCACTCCCCATAGATCTAGGCTGGGAGGGGGAACATCGTCACAAGCCTTGTTACTGATACCAAGATCCCTGCCTGGTATTGTTGAAGGATGTTTGGGTGGGATTCGAAATGCTTGAGCAACGGGCCTTGCATCTGGCATGGTTGTTTGCTTTTGTTGAAGAAGTGTTGAAGGCTGTTTGGGTGGGATTTGAAATGCTTGAACAACGGTACTTGCATCTGCCTTGGTTGTTTGCTTTTGCAGCCTTTTGAGAAAAGAATCCCAGAAAAGAAATTTTTCAAAAGCCAAAAATAAATTATTTAGTTCATTGATCCACTTAGAGACTTAATCATAACTTCATATACCTATCAATAGATTCAATAATTGATTTAATTTATTCATTAATCAGTACGTTAATGAGATAATTTTAATTATTGAGCGGCAATTTAAATCCCAGCAAGAGACTAATGTAAAGTACAGAGAATTATTAATCAAATCGCTCACCCAATCACAGTCTTAGCTCCCTTGACCACAGCCCAACCTTGGCGTACTTTGGCATGGATTCGGTCTCGTCTGTTTTTCCACCAAACCTCGACGAATATGACGACAACTGAGATGACGCCTCCTGCAGCCAGAAGCAGATACACGCCAACCATGCTACCAATCTGAATGCGCTGGCTCTCGATCACCTCTGCAATGTATTGTATGACAAAAGATGGTGAGCGTGAGACAACGCAGCGAATGACTAGATGAAGGGCATAAGGTCTCAATATGGACCTGTCATTATTTGTCACCTGGGGGGAGGGGGTGGGGGATATTTGTTGCGACAACATAATTTATTAACTGATCCCCCTTCAACCCCCACCCCCAAGAGGAACTATCTTTTATGAGCCTCCAATAAGTACCAAATAACCCAATTTTACTGGATGGAAAAGTTTTTTAAAACTACTAGTTTTTTTAACTACTTAGACGAACAAGGACAATAATATAACAGTTCATTTAAAATTAGATTATTAGCAGCGAAGCATTTCCTGTTCAAACTTCCAAGGTATGCCACAAACAAAACCCAGTCAAGCCACCTTAAAGACATTTACAGCATATTTGATGATTTTTCCTTGTTAATATCATACTTTTCTCAATCTGTCATTCTATTTCACTTTTACTACACTCTCGCTGATTGGCTAACCTACTAGCGGTCCATTAGTGATAATCAAACATTTTTAAAATGTTTGTGGCGTGACAGTATTGGCGGCGTGACAGTATTGTTACGTGCAGTATATCGACGTGTAGTATTGCCTACCTTCAGATGTGAGCTTCTTGAACTCTGGACACTCGTTACGCTCGTCCCACCATTTTCGTTTCAGGTCTTCAATTTGTCCCAATTCTTGCATTTTCAAGATGGCAATGGAAATGTTGTTGATGTAAGGAAAGTCTTTGGCCATAGCTATGCCGTAACTACTAGAACCTGTCACGTCTTTAGCTGAAAAATAAGTTTTGTTAATTATTAAACGGATGAATGGACTTTATACAGTTGTATTAATACTTGAATTGGTCATTCCAGCACTCARGAGTTGCATACGACTCACGTGACCCTTCGTGCGTGCTTAGCAAACACTTGCGTGCACTTGGGAAGCACCGGTGGCGTTCGCTGCTAATGCGCCGCCTCTCACCAATGCGGCTCGAGTTCGAGTCCTGCCGATCTCAATGTCGAATGTGAGTAGAGTTGTTTGTTGGTTCTCTCCTGTGCTTCGAGGGTTTTTCTCCGGGTTCTCCGGTTTTCCTCCCTCCTCAAAAATCAATTTCTAAATTCTAATTATATCTTTGGGCTTTCACTTAGTTTGGAGCCTAGCTCTGTTGTGATTGTCCCACGCTGTGATACAACAGCGAAAAGCTTTGTAGATAGATCCATCAGTCCTCAGCAGTGACAACTCCTAACACCATACCGAACATGACGTCATAAACTTGATAATGATAATAATGATGATGATGATGATGATTAAGGGCATAACAAACAAAAGCCTCATTGCTCTTTACAATACTGATGAACAATGTAAAAGACAATAAAACTAATGAAATATATACTGAAATAGACCATGTAAAAATGAAAAATATCTATCAATAAAAAGTTCTAAACGAAGAAAAAAAACAAACAAAGAAACCGCAAGATAGAGAGTTTCCAAAGTTTAGGACCAGCTATAGACACAGCTAAACTTACCAGACATGACGTCACAGGGATTTTGATTGACAAGGTATTCGGCAAAAGGGCTTTCTTCCAAGTAGACATTCCTTTCCTGGTTCCGGACCGCTGCAAATCCTTCGTTCGCCGAGTCCACAAAAGTCTTATCCGTTGACATTTTCTCCCAGAGGAGACGATAGAGACGATAATCAGATGTTTTGAAATATTCATAAAGTGCTGTATCCCTCATGATGTACAGCCGATAGTCGCCCTCCTGTACGTCTTCGAGGTTGTTCACTTGGACATTCGTCTTGGAGCTGGTCAGAAAAGCGGCCAGGTTTGCCGTGTAAGTTGAGACCCAGACAAGGATACAAAACCAGAAGCTTCCAACGACTATACGACCTGAATGCAAGATATTTGTACCATAGTATTAGTCAATATTGATGGTTTTCAACCATTCCCAAGAGAATTAGATAACAAAAGACACGGCGGCCATGTTGGAGGATATAACAAAAGAATTCATTACCAATTCTTTTGTTAAGTTCCTCCAACATGGCCGCCGTGAAAACCATCAATAGATCCCTTGCATTGATTTCCTAGAGGAATTATTCTGGGCAACAAAACAATATGCAGTCTAAGTGCCAGGGGTCTATTATCTTTTCTTTTCTTTCCTTTTTTTAATATTTTATTAAAACTTAGATAATACTATTGTATTTTTCGCCTTTACCACTCACGCAGCTTACTTCCAACATCTTTAGCAACTGAAGTTAGTTATCAAGAAACTTAGGCTAAGCCTAACATATGTGTCAATGGTATTTACCTGATAGCATGCGGGGTGTGGCATCTCCTCCCTGTTGTAACATGGAAGCGAGGCAGAACCAGAGACTGTTAAACCAACTGAACTCGTCCCCGTTCTGTTCGTCATCACACATGCGATGTCCAAAGGGGCTGGAAATGATGAGAGAAATGTTAACATCACTGACACTCTATAGCACCAATACTCCTGTTTCGAGTTGTCTCTTGCACGTTAGCCTCGATATTTGTGCAATATTCACGTATTCTTGTGAAGGTCCGTGGGATTTCAAAGTGTTTGTATTGTTGAAGTTGTGCATTCTTTACTTTGTCGTTGGTATTTGTGAATATTTAGACACTGATAAAAGGCGAATCCTGAGTAAATGAGTCTGCAATCAAGGAGAACAGCTGTAATTTGGAACTCGAAGTAGGTTTATTAGCATTGTTGTAGGAGTTGTATAACGCGTTGCATCATTGGGCTGTTTTTCTATTTTACTTGCTGATAGTGAAACGTGATAGTAAACCTTAATTGTCGTGTTAAGCGTACCTCAAAATAGCCTCATCGCGTCTCTACGACTCCGAAAAGGCGAATATGTTTAGAGCCAAAGAATACATGATGCAATCAAAGTAAAGTCGATCTTCATGGTTACCTGAAATAATTGACCAACGTCAAGATAGCTGTGACGACAAACCACGTGACAAGAGTCATGACCCACACGAGGATAGTGTAGGGAGTCATGAAACCTGTGATATCAAAATCATTGACCGTTGGTCTTTGCATGACCAAATCCATAGAGATGTACATGAATGGTTTGCTGAAGCCCATGTACTGCAGTCGCTCTGAGTTGATGGTCAGAGGCATTGAAGACATGTCTGCATTCTATTGGAGATAATAAGAACAATGTCAAAACGTTAGAGTGCTTACCATATATCCGTGAAAAAGTTTGTAAGGAATTGCACAAATTTACGCAAATAACTAGTAAGTTCAGCAGACCTCAGTAGACTGTAGACCTACAAAACTTCGCACTAATTTGTACGATTTTGTTAGTTAACTTTTTCATGGATATATGGTATGCACTCAACCAAAAATGGTCAAAATTAGAATGTCTACAAGCTTTATGCATGTGCTAGATTTTTTCAGGGTTATTAATATCCTTTTTTTCCTACACAAGTCTTCTCCCTTTTCCTCCAATTCCCTCCAACCTCCAACCCAATCTGCACCCACCTTAATCTTCATATATCCCCAATGTTCCAAGGAATGTTACTTAGATTGCACTAGTGTTTCCCTTACCCCTTTAAATACTTCTCCAATGACTCCACTTAAAGAACCGTCCGGATTCGTACCGCTGTATTTACCATCAGGACTCAAATAAAACTCGTACTGGAATTTGAGTATATCTGCAATCCCCTTGATCAGGTCGATGCTGAACCCCACAAACTCCTTGGTGTTTGTTTGCTTATTAACTTCAGTCATAACGAAGGGAGGATCCTGAGAGAAACATACCAAAGCATTACGTTAGCTTAATGTCTAGCATAAAGAGTCGTAAACGATCCGTCAAATTCATTGTAGTACTGTAGCCATACCGCATGTGTACCGTAGCCGTAACTACGCGGAGAGGAAACACCTGCTTTCAATCTCTGATCAAAAATCTCAAAATTAAACAAGTCCCAAGGCTAAAAGGAACATAGATTACCTCAACGAGGGCTATTTTTAACTTTCTTTGTAGCTGGCTCAAAGGTACAACTGTAACGAAAGGTTTGTTTTTCTGGGGAGGTGACGTCATTGTAAGTTTTGCCGTCTCGCTCCATTCTCCTATCTGCCGAGAGAACAAAATCTTTCATTTTCCTTCTCATTTGCCTTTCCGACGTTCAATAATACAAAGGACTATGGGATGAAATTTGGACAAAGCCCAGTAATTTCCACTGGCCCCACAAACTTTTCAATAGACCTTGTTAGCTTCGTATGCAAATATTTCCCATTCCCTTAAGAACTGTTCTTTTATGGCGAACATGTTAAAATATTTACACATGAAAGAATCAACTCCCAAGAGTGGCATCACGTGGTTTGAAATGTGCACAACAAACAACAAAGCTGAAAAGGTCTACTTATCGATCAATTTCTTTTCACCTTTGTAAAGATCCCTCCTCTCAGGTTCATGACGTCTACCACTGCATTTCTACGGTGACCGCCATTGTCAAACTGAATCACTCCAGTCGCCCCTGTAGTAGTCACCTAAACAACGTTACCGTTTACGTTAAGTCCTTGCTTGGTATCAAAAATTAAGCAGAATAATCTCATTACACGCAAAAACTGCCCGTCATGTGTTATCATCCAGAGAATACGCTCMTGTTCCGGCCTCTAAAGATCCTCCATCGACTATGACAATTACCGAAAGAAAGATGAATAAGAGGAATGCATGTACCTTTTTAATGTAGTTCAAGAGTTCAGGTCCATTTAGGAATTTGACTATGTTACTTCCAGTACTCAGGGTTTGCCATCTGTTGGCCACGAGCATGTTGTGGAGTGCATGAGCATAGGACACTACCGCATCAAAAACCAGGAAGGATGAAAACTAGGACAAAACGAGAAAATAAAGTAAAATGAAGGAATTATAGGTAGGTAGGTGGGTAGGTGGGTAGGTGGATAGGTGTGTAGTGTGGGCCTAGGTGGGTAGTGTGGGTAGGTGGGTAGATGGATAGGTGGGTAGGTGGATAGTGTGGGTAGGTGGGTAGGTTGGTAGGTGGGTAGGTGGGTAGTGTGGGAAGGTGGGTAGGTAGGTAGGTGGGTAGGTAGGTAGGTAGGTAGGTAGGTAGGTAGGTAGGTAGGTAGGTAGGTAGGTAGGTAGGTAGGTAGGTAGGTAGGTAGGTAGGTAAATATATAGGGAGGCTGTAAGGAGTAGGGGAAGAGAAAACGGAGGAAAAAGGGAGTAGGAAGGTAGGTGGGTAGTTCATAGCATAGGTAGGCAGGGAAGAGGAGAGGAAGGTGGGAAGAGAGGGAGAAGGAGGAGGAAGGAAGGGAGTAGGTAGGTAGGATGGCATGTAAGTAAGTAGGTGGAAAGTGAAGCAAGGAGAAGAAGAGAGTTGGGAGAAGGAAGAGAGAATAATACAGCTGGAATAGTTGGAACAGAAACAGGAAATTATGAACTCAGGGAAGAAGGGAGGTACGTAGGAAGGTAATGTAGAAGCAAGGAGCTGGGATATTTAATATACTTACCCTGGTAGTAGAGATATTGGTGGATAATGCTGCCATTAGCGCTGTTGTTTTTGGATTTACGACAACACGCGGTGCAAATCCAATAACGATCTGAGAAAGCTCTGTCGTAAGCTCAAAGGAAGTGATCTTTTCACAGATAGAAAGAAAGGGGGTTATATATATTAAGCATATTAACTATGGATTTAGGTATACGACGCTTTGCACACTCACAACCAACACACGTGGGATTCTCTCCAAGAATCTTGATACTGACCAACTGAAATACTCCAGTTTCGAGTTCTTAGCTGCTCAGGGTTAGCCTCGATTTTGTATAGAATATTTACGTGTTCCAGTGTAGGTTCATTGAATTTCAAAATGTTTGAACAGTTGAAGCTGTGTATTCTTTACCTTACCGTTACATTTTGTGAAAATTCTGACGCCGAAATGAGGCTCACCCTGAGGGAATGAGTYACATCGGTATCGTGCGAATAGTCACCTTCAAAGTCTCCTGCGCCATCTTGAAACATAACCGTACCTGGGCAACGAAGCGAAAAGGGCGTAGACCTTACAACGATAGAGACGTGAATAATTGGCCAAGGTGTTTAAAAAGTCAATGCAGAGACACGGTTAGTTTTCAAGATGGCGCAAGAAATTGTGAAGGGGACTATTCAAAAATAGTCTATTGTTTTATTTATTCTATTTTATTGTATTGTATGTTGTAAATATAGAATGTAGTCGTAGTGTGTGTGGAGCAAACCTCGCGGAACAGCCCCGTATGGGGAGTGATGGTTGTAAAATATAAGTTATATAAGTTTCTTAAGCCAATAAACTATCTACTCACAGGGTCGGCCAGCAACCACCGATGGGACCTGTGTTTCTTAATCGACAGTAATGGATGGACCTGCAAACAAACCGACAACGTTACACATGATGCGAAACGAAATCCATTGAGCTTGTTCGACGTACTGCTTTCCCTACTTCGGGAATAAGGTTTGCATTCACGACAATGTATCTCCTTAGTGTTACTGACCAATACAGAAATATTACTCAATGGAATGTCACGTGTGTCCTACTCACATTCCATGGGAGTTTGACGTTTAAATCGACAGTCAAAGACAGGCAGCGAGCACATCACTTGCAACAAATAGGCATAAAACCGATGGAATGATCTATGTATAAGAAAAAATATATATTTTCCTACCTTACTTATAATCCTCTGCACTAGAGAAGCATCAGAGAACAGCGCTATAGCTTCTGCAGAATCCATAGACAGAGAGCCGAGTTTATTTCCAGTGGTTTCGTTCAGAATTCCAGTTTGATCCAAAACCATTTCTAACACATGGCAATGGACGTTGGAGGGGAGACTGGACACGAAAAGAGAAGCGTCATCTCGCCACTGAACTGAAGTGAGAAAAAAATCACATTAGTAATTATTTTAAATAAAAGTTTCATTCATTCAACCAAATAAGGCAGCCCTGCAATAGGCCATTTCACGGATCCCGTTACTCAACCTCAGCCTTGTCAGCGTGTAATTATTGTTTAGAATTTGACTACAGTCCGCAGTAATGAAAGGAATTTACACATCAACGAACAATTGAAACACTTAAAAATTTCACAGGTTGTAGGCAATTTCTAAAGAATATATTACACGCTGACGAGGCTGAGGTTRAGCCGCGGGATCCGTGAAATGGTCTATTGAATAAGATAGCAACCAAAAGACAACACGAGAGGAAACGTCCGCGCATGCAAATTATCCTAGAGGGAAAAGAGATGCGTCATCTCGCCATCCAACTGAAGAAAAGTAAATAATACAGCAATAAAAGAAAAAACGAGAGGAAACATCTGCGCATGTTTATAGTCTGTATGCAAATTAGCCTCGAGTTAAAAGAGATGCCTCACAGTTCAAAGTGCTATTCTATCTATCTGACTCCCCCTCCGCTCTTTATTCTAATTCATTTTAGGAAGTATAAGTGCTTCTTTGTCCCTATATGATTTTATTATTAGTATATGTAATAGGACTCCATTCTGTCCAATTAAGAAATAATTGGACGCGGAAAATTCCGAGGACTTCCAAAATTGGATGAGGCCGTAGGCCGAGTCCAATTTGGCAGTCAGAGGAATTTTTTGAGTCTAATTATATTTCTTGATTGGGGAGCATGAAATCCCATTACCTATTAATTATATAGCTGCCTAATTAATCCCATATCAACAAGACCTGTCCAATTAAGAAAATAATTGGACATTTACCTATATGGGATTAATGAGAAGCTGTATGATAATAATAATAATTATTATTATCATTATTATCATTATTATCATTACTCACCATCGTAAAGAACCATTATATTTGTCCACAAATACTTGGTTATCAAATCAATCATGGCGGTGTGGGAACTGGACACCATATTAACACCATAACCACTAAATGATTGGTTTAGAGGTGTTGCTCTTGATGGACGGGTGCTTAGCAACGGAGTCTGAAGCATAAAGCTCAAAGCATCATGGGATTCCGTGGGTTTAGAGTCCATAATCAAGGAAGATATCTTGTATTGGGAAATATTCCAAGCTACAAAAATGAAAACAATTAATTATAAGTGAATTCTTGGCTTTATATGAAAACTTTAAGACCTGACGTGCAGTGGAGTAAAAAAGAAGAAAAAAGAAAAAACAAGAAAAATCTATAATTTGTTACTCACCCACACTGAAGGGGTTTTGGCGAGGAGATGTTGTGTCGGCCAGATGCAGTGTTGTGCTGGGAAGGAGAGAAGAATCGAGATTGACTTGGTTGATGGCAGATAAGACAGCCTGCTTCTGTTGAGACGCCATGTTGGAGGAAAAGAATGCTGAAAGAACCAAAAATACATGTAAACTTATCAATGATGCTGGAGGGAAAGATAGGAGGAAATACATGGAATGAAGGACGGGAAGGAGGAAGACTCTTGTTTTTAAAGGAGGAAGGGAGGGAAGGAAGGAGGGAAGGAGGGAAGGAGGGACGGAGGGAAGGAGGGAAGGAGGGAAGGAGGGACGGAGGGAAGGAGGGAGGGAGGGAGGGAGGGAGGGAGAAGACGTAATACGAAAAGATCTTCCTATCTATTGATCGCATTTTCATAGAAATATGCTACCGACTAAATTGAAGTAACACTAGTCATTTATTTATTTATTTTGTTACACGATTTCGTGTCTTTATCCTTCCATTAGTTCGTATTTAATATTGCTGGAAGATAAAGAAACCCGTTTAGATTTTTTATTAAGCTATGTTTCATATAAAATTTGAAGATCGTAAAGATTTCCAAAAAACGTTTTACAATAACTTACAAATTTCTNGGAGGGAAGGAGGGAAGGAGGGAAGGAGGGAAGGAGGGAAGGAAGGAAGGAAGGAAGGAAGGAGGGAAGAAGGGAAGAAGGAAGGAAGGAAGGAAGGAAATGATTTTCAATGATTTTCATTTAAAATTCTCAAAGAATATTGTACTTACAAATGTAGACATCACTTGGAATTGAGAAGGATGCAAGAGACGTCGATAAACACACCGCTAACGAAACAAGAAACACCACTACCATAATGAGGTACTAGAGTGGGGCACTGTCCTCCACAAAGATAACTCAAAATATCTGAAAAATAAAGCCTAGCTTTTACTTGCGACGGAATAGGATCAAAGTCAATGCATGGCTAACTCAATTGGAATTTATGTATTCCTTTATGTGTAGCCACGAGACGAGATTGCATTTTCGACCACATTTAAACATGCACCGATTGCCTTAACTTTATTGGTCAGGGAGACGGTTTTCACTTGGCTGTCATGACTTGAAGCCCAAGTGCTGTCGCATGCAAGGAGATTTAAACATTTCTCGCTCAGCTTGCACTGTCGTAATGCTTTTGCTGCTTGAAATTCAGTCCGAGGAAAATTGCAAAATCATAAAAGCCACGAGTCATGTAAAAGTGGACCTAGTATTCAATGATGTTCAGTGAGAATATTTGCTACAATTCTTATTCAAATAGAATATAATGACAGAAAGGATATCCCATAGTCACTAGCTTGTGCAGGAGCTCGAGGAAAACTCCGTACGCCTGAAAAAATGTTATGCATTTGTCTGTCATAAACAGTTGAAATGAAAAAAGAAAGAAAATTAAGGATATATAAACTATAGACCGAGCCGTTCAAAAATCTCCAATTTCAGTTTCAAAATTTGAATTTGTTTGCGCCCTACGAGAACTAAAAACAAAATTAGACCTACAAAAGTTCCGTTAGCTTGGTTTGTTGAGAGAGATTTCTTTTCGTATTCAAGCAGTGAGCGCCAAAAACTATTTTCTTAAAGAAAGGCTGTTGTACAAGGCTAAAATCTTGTTATTCAGAAAATTGTTTGGAAGTGGAGATGAAAGTAGAATCAAAGTGTTAACCCAAAGCAGAAATTTTATTCGAAAATGAGGTTTAGGCCTTCATTTGCTTATTTCCCATATATTTTCTATAAAAAAGCCTGACAAAGCAACATTCTAACACAAATGCAACAAAACATCTTTGTACAATTGAAAATACCGCTTCAAACAGGCATTTTATCAAAGTACATCAGTTTCTAACAGTTTAAAAAAGCTTTTGAGTGTCAACCTAAAACGAAAATTGGGATCAAAACTCATACGAAAGTCTAGTTTTTGTAGCTTTTTGCCATTATTGCTCATTATTGAAAAAAAAATCCTCTTAATAAGCAGCTGTTTGGGGTTTTAGGGATATAAGATAACAGGCAAAATATTTTTAGAGCTAAGAGAGTTAACTAGCTATTCTAAATTAGTTTTAAGCCGGTATAATCGAAAACCAGCGTGTTAAAGAACTGACAAACGGTCCAATATCTTTTGAATCAAATGTTGGGACAGTTTGTTGATAGTGTTAGAAAATTATTTGACGTTGGATGAATGTTGGACTCCGGTGTCTGTCATGCCATTTTTCCACGACCCACCAAAACGTGCCAATAATGTTGGGTAAAATATTGGACTGTTTGTTTGAGCCATTAGGAAGAAGTTTCTTGGTACGTTTAGGAACAAGAGACTAATAATTGGCATCTGAATCGTTGGGATAAGGAGTTACTAAGGCTCATTATAGGGCTGGAGTGTACAACAATTCGAGTGACATATAAAACTACCTAACGAAACGCTTAAAAATCAAACATAAAAAGTAGATAGAGTTATCTCATAGGTATATTTGAAATTTAAGCATTTTAATGCCTTGATTTAGCAGATCGTATGGGAGAAAAGAACTTGAAAAGAATCCAGTTTGAAGTGTCTAATATTTTTATTATGTATTAAACTTTCTTTAGCGTATTACCAAATTTTTATATTTAAAGAATTAAGTTTATTAACATTAAACGGTGGGTAATATATATAAACTAGAAATAATTCCCTAAAATATACACATACAAACAACAGAATTTAATTTACTTACTTGATTTTATGAGCTAATCCAGGCAAAGTTTGATAAAGTTATCCTCGTAGCGACAGTAAACCAATTCGCTAGCTTTGCATTTCAATTATGCCGATTAACAGCCTGAAGTCTCCACTTGTTTTGATCTAGAATCAAATTCAGAGTTTTAAACCCTAGAAACGGTCATTTATTCCGTTTCAAAACTATTCCCTTGACTAAGACAAGAGTCTTATCCACTATAAGGTGTGATAATGTAACCAATTCTTCTTGGGAGTAATTCACCTAAAATCTAACTCATTAACGCTAACAACATTAACAAACACCGACTAGAAGACCATCACGGCAGGTGTACAACGCTCAAAATATGCATTTTACTTCCCGCGGCTTCCTTTCAATGATAATTGCTTTTATGAAAAGTTCAAGTTTATGAGATTTAGTCTTTCGGAATATTTATTATAGATTCTGTTTATATATTTATGGATAGTAAACTTGGGTTACTCGAATTTTAACCGCTTTTAGCTCATTATTTTTTCCCGTGAAAGCCAATAAGCCATTAATACGAGGCTTTCCTCTTCGTTTTTTTCTTAGCTATGTTTTTCAATTTTCTTTTTTCTCTCACGCGTCGGCTCTCATTCTCTCATACCTCGTATTTTTTCTAGCTGTTTTTGTTCATTCGATCTTCTCTTTTCTCCTTGTTCGTTTTTCCTTTTCCTTTGAATCTTTCCAGGTTTTCTTTGTCTTCTTTGCGTTCTATTTTTCTAATTAAACTTACAGGCGCAATTTCAAAACTTTTCTATGTTTTTAAATCACCTTTTGTCCCTACAAACAACTCTACAGCCAGGGCGACAAGAACATTGTTTCATTACGTGTTTGCACCTATGATGGTATATGTGGGCGAAGATCGGTCTCGGTATTTGTTGAACATCTTTCATCTCTGTAGCGACGTTTAAATGGAAAATAGTATTAAAAAAAWAAAAAAAAGCGGTCCTTAATTTTTGTCTGTTTGGGGGAGATTCATTGTTCTCAACCCTACACTCACCAAACACACCACACACATTTCAAAAGGACCCCGAGTGAAGAATCAACTAGAAAACGAAGAACTCCAAGTTCTTGCTTCAAGCATACCCTCAAGATTTTACAGTCCTTCCACTAGTTTTTCTGACTCACAGAATCTCTAGACACATTTCAAAAGACAGGCAAGGACGAAACTGTGTGAAGTCGCCAACTTTTTAGAGTCAAAGACAAAATAAGAGGTCGTTTTATCTAAAAAAAAACACCATTGTTTTGTCCCCCAGAACAATTCCTCTCGGGATTCAGTTTTAGCTTTCCACAAAAAAAATTCCGACGATTATTTAGCTCTTTATAATCTTTACGATTGTACGATTTAGGTTTATTCGTGGTTGAATGATCCAGGGATATGGGTTTATTCTTCAAATAAGAACAAAAGTAGTTTTGTAACAATTTTATTGCTGAGTTATAAATTGACTTTTAAAAAAGTTTGAATTTTAACAGTTTTATTGCTGAGCTATAAATTGACTTTTTAAAAAAAAAATTTAAATTTCAAAATTTTACAAAAGGTTACATTCATAAAGTAGATAACAGACAGATTTAAGCATCACGTTTTTCCTTCCCGCAAACGACAGTAACGACACGTGTACAAGTTCCATCGTTTCCCTGGATTTCACTTAATTCACTTCTTTTGCAAACCTTCTCACCAGGATATCCTCCATAATTTTGAAGAATTTTTCATATGTCAACTGACGTTTCACGTTTAGCGAGTGGCTTAAACTCATGACTGCGAACGCACTATTGTCACGGCACTGTCACGGCACGGAATTGATATAATCCGTTTAACCAGTCACAGCACGCAAGAATAATACTCATCCAATCAAAATACTCATACACGGTACCGTCAAGGTCACGCCACGTCCGTATACAGTCAATTCAAAAAATGTTGTCGTCGACCAACTCAAGCCTACGCGACGGGACCGAAAGGAACTCTGGGTAGTAATCATTGAAGCCGAGTTGACTCCATAATTTTATCTGACTAGTTATGCCTGGTTTACAGCACGAATCTTCGTAGGCGAGCTGAAAGGAGACGTTTTTTTAATGCCTTCATATTTTCGGGATTGTGAACTGAGTCATAACTACTTTGTTTTTCTTTCCCTAAACCCAAAGACATGCATTTTGATGGATGTTTCTCGCCATTATTATCTTATTACTAGCGGGAACAATTTATTCAGAACGAATATTTAATCGCGTCAGTGATTTTTACCCATATTCCTTTCGGTCCAGTCGCGTAGGCTTGAGCCGGTCGACGACAACGTTTTTTGAATTGACTGTATGTTAAGGTTCTTACAAACATAAACAAATTAACGAAAATTAATTGAACATTTTTAGACCTACAGACGATTTTCTTTTGCTTGATTAATGTTATGGAAACGTGGTCTTATTTGCTATACACTCAATTGCAAAGTCATTGTCGGGTTGCTACTGAGAATATATTATGGGCCGGGTTGTTCAAAGCTGGATTAGCGCTAATCCAGGATTAACTCTATAGGTCTTATTAAGAGTTAACCCATAATTAGCACTAATCGGGCTTTGAACAACTGGGTCCCGGGATAAACATAATTTTCGTCTTATATATTTTTTTGAGATACACAGTCTATATGAAAAATGTGTTCTATGATTTCTGTCAGTGCAACAATTTATAAACATTCCACGGGTTGTATAATTAGATACATCTATTTAACATACTTCCCATTTCGGTCTCAGATTTTGCAACTGAGTGTACACAATAATGACAGTTATGAAGAAATAGAAAACGCGCGCGCGTACTGTTTCAAGTCATAAAGCACGCGGGGTTGGCAGAAAGCGGGAGACGTGTAGGGAGAAGCACGACGCGTAGAGGACAGCTTCTCAACACTTCTCGAGAGTTCTGCCAATCCTCAAGTGCTTCTATTATGACTGCACAGCACAGCAAGCACGTTTTTCATTTCTTTTATAAAACGCAAACTAGAGTAGCCGAAATAGAAAGTGCGCACGCGTGTCGTGTACTCTCATAATTTACGTGCTCCCAACCAATAAGAATTCGAGATTTATAAAGTTTAGTTGTGTTAGGTGAGTGGATTATCCCTTTATGTTTAGCATTTACATGCATGGAAGTTATAATCTCTTTATTCGTTTACTTGAAAGCTTCAAATGGTTTAACCTTTGTTGGCGTTGACCTGGAAAAATGAGTAACAACGCGGTCACTTGAGAAGTAGATAAATGTTTTTAACTATTCCCGTTTTCTTTCCTCCCCTTTCCGCTTTTCTTTTTGTTTCTTTTCTTTTCTCCTATACTCTCCTTTTTCTTTCTTCCTCTTCTCTGCTCTCCTCTGCTCTGTCCTGCTCTGCTCGGCTTTCCTATTTTCTATTTTGCTTTGCACCGCTTTGCTCTCTCCTGCTCTGCTTTGCTCTGTTCTTGCCTATTCTTCTCTGCTCTACTCCATTCCATTCCACTCAGCTCTGCTCTCCTCTATTCTTCTCTGCTCAACCCTATTCTTCTCTGCTCTACCCTATTCTTCTCTGCTCTACCCTATTCTACTCTGCTCTACTCTGTTCTGTTCTGTTCTTTTCTACTTTTCTTATTTCATCTCATCAGAGCTCAACTCTTCTCGTCTCCCTTCCGAGACGAGAGGAGAAAAGTAGAAAATCATATAAAATTAACAAACCTTTTCAGTTGTTTACCATGACTTACGGTTTCTTGGAGAAGCAACAGGTGAATAATCTCTTGATCGTCTCTCCTTTGTTTTTCCATATCAGTTCACATAGCATCGAAAATATACCAAGAATACACCCCGCTGCAATGACTATGTACACTCCCGCCATGTTGGCCAGACCAAGACGTTCAGTAGTTGCTGCTCCTGTGGAAATAAGTTTAGTCCAATAACTTATAAAGTAGGGCTCAAAATTCATAAATCCAGGATTTTCTACCCTCCCCTCCCCTCTTATCCCTTCCCCTCTTCCCTTCCATGATGTTGGTCATCATAAGACACTAAGTATTCCATGTATGTGAATTAGAAATAGAGCCATTGGGTACACTTCATAACTCCCCGCCACGCATATGCCGCACAGTTAATACTAGCCTTAGAAATACTGTTCACCTCTTGCTTTATTCCTCTGTATAAATCAACAACCCTCTCCCATCGTTCTCTCGTGTCAAATTTCTCGCATTAAACAAGTGTCCCGCTTCTCACATAGTTCGTGCCCTGACCCTCATAGTTCGTGCCCTGACCCTCGCATAGTTCGTGCCCTGACCCTCATAGTTCGTGCCCTGACCCTCGCATAGTT